CGCACTTCTTTTACATATATATATATATATATGTAAAAGAAGTGCGCATATATATATATATATATATATATATATATACATATATATATAAAACTCGGTCTGGGACACCTACAGATGTAAATAATGAAGTAAGAAATTAAATACCAAGTTATTTCAATTAACTTTGCCTTTATTATTCGCACGGTTAATTATAATGTGACCTTAGATCTAATATAATTGGTTTCAGCCGTATTACAACCTACGACTAAGGGTCAAAACAGACTGGGTTTAAAACTACTAAAGCATTATGCTGCTGATATTTAATTATTAATTTAAAATGGCAATTCGCTGTAATATGAGTACAAGAGCCACGCAACTAAGTAAACTTAGGAAAATTGAGTTATTTAAATTGGTAATTAATATAGAAACATAACTGCTGGGTTACGAATCGAATATCTTTATAATAATCTCTATTATAAAGCATATACGGTTCAGGGTATGTAAATGTGTAAAAAGCAACACGACCAGAAAATAATTGGAATTTATTTAAAAATAACAGCTATTATTCTTTGAATGAAACCAATAATGCTGTAACAGTTTTACAGACAATGTGCGATGACCCGTAAGTGATGCAAGCATTAAAAATAACAACTTCATTATGTTTATTTTTTTACACTGGTATTACACACTTGTAAAAAAAATTACGATTTTTTTGTACTTACAAAAAAATGTACATACTATTGTAAACATGCTATTACAATGTATTTATTTAAAAATTAAAATATTATTTTTAAATTGCTAAAATTAAAAATAAGTGATATATATCTATCTAATTTAAATGTGTAAACATCTGTTAAAAAACTAGATGCACGGCCTAAGCATACGATAGTTATTGCCTGAAAAGCTGCCCTTAGACCTTGAATTTAGATGCTAAAAACGACCTTTGACAACATTAAATAAAGTAACTCTTTAGTTCTTTCGTACCTTGCAATGATCTAAAACACGTCAGCCGTTTACAGTGCCACTAACTTATTTGTGATATGTTGTCTATTGTCTATGTTACACAAAGTTAATTTCACACCTTGAATGATAAAGTGACGAAGCTAAAAAAGTAATTTTTGGGAAGTAACAAAATAGATTTTAAAAAGAATAACGTATGTAAAGTTCCGACACGTTGAACGTATTTTTTATATCGAGTTTGGTTGTTACATGAATTATAAAAACAAATTATTAATAAAAAAATAATGTATTATATAAAAAAACTACACGGTACATTTGGAAACGGTTCAGCCATCTTGCGTTTTGAGACTATAGTGCATTCGCGTTAAGAAAATAGTGACTCATCGTTGACCGCCGACCTGGCCACGCCCCCTAGCCAATTAGAATGCTTGAAATTATTAAGTCGAGTTATAGGTGCCGGTGACATGTGATCAAAATTTTGCGCACTTAGAGTATGGGATAATTCAGTGGCGTACAAGTGGCAACTTAAAATTTTTTGCGTCTGTGGTTCGTTCGGGCAGACTCGGCTCGATTGTGTACTTACGTTCGCCTGCCTTCGCCACCTTTGCGTTGTTCAGGATATCGTTTTCTCAAATAGTGAAATTTGATTTCTAATTTTAAGTAAAAAAAAAATTTTGACTAGTTAACCGCCCCCATTCCAGTGCCTGAGGCATGGCCCTCTCTGCACTTCCGACACTACGCCACTGGGTTAATATGGCGTGATAATACAGAACCAGGCGTGTCTGCCATTAGACTCTGGCCATAGATGACAAAATGTATTTGATATGAAAAACTAAATATATAGGTTTTATTTCGTATATTTATTTTTATTTTGTCAGTTTTCAAAAATATTGCTTTCACAGTTATGACACTTTATTATTGAGCGTACGGTTTGACGTTTTGCATAATGGCGTTAGTTAATTTTATGCTATATAGGAGTATCACTGTGCAAAAAACACTTTAAACCTAACTGTATGACAGTGGTGAAGGCACATTTGAAGAAGATAAGTCGATATAGACCTACTTTTAAGTTGGAGAATAACTTCTTGGATCTCTTCGCCACCGCTTTATATTATATTTTGTTTGTTACACTTCTGTTAGTGAGAGGTAAAGGGCCTCAAATGCAAAATAGTAATTTTTACGTTTTAAAGATAATAAGGCTGTTAATTAAACACTTAAAATCAATCTTAATATCAAATATGTTAAATAAAAACAAACGATATTAAGACGTAATGGATTTTACCATTGCGTGATTATTAGCATTCTAAAAAGTGTTTGCAAAAACGTCTAAATTAAAAAATATGAAATTAAGGTCCTTTACCTCTCACGACAAAAACTTAAACTGTCACATCACAAAAAAGTTAACGGCACTGCAGTCATTTAGTTACTGTGTTATGATAACCATTGAAACTAAAGATTTATACTTTCCTAACTTATAACACTTATCTCTCTTAGTTAAAAGAAAAATGTTATATGAACAATTTTTATATAAATGTTGAAGTTATTCGAAATGGCAATGTAAAGTTGCCACACTAAAATTATACGCTAAAACATGGTAACATTATTTTAAAAAACATTCAAATTTCATTAGCTTAAAATAGAAAGTTCAATGACCTATTGGCAAATACCACATTAAAAAGGTGACAAGTTATTTTTTAAACCTGAAATGGTGATGATATTATTATTGTTAACATTCGTGTAGTCAGTGCAGGGAATTAGTTTAATTTTGCAATATGGCGAGGGTTAAAATATAACTTGCTAGCCCTTGAAGTTCGTAATAAAGATAGAACTCATTAATAGTTTTATTTACATGGAATTGGGCATTATTCCATTTTGATGAAATTGATTTCATTAATTTAATTTCTCTGATCTATTATTTTTTGTAATAACATTTTAGGCACTTCCTAACTTTAGGAAACACTGAGAACTCTACTCTATAGATTGGAATATATAAATGGTTTTTAATGCCTCAACAAAACATCTTATTTTTAATGTAAAAGTGGCACAACAAAACTTGTTATTGGACAAGTTGTAGTTCAGTAATTTTCACCAACATTCAGTATAATTGTAGAATGTGAATTATTATATTTAACATGCAATGTAAACGTATACTATACGGGTAATGTAAATGTAACTATACACGTAATGTAAATGTATATTACATACGTAATGTAAATGTATATTATACGCGTAATGTAAATGTATATTTTCAAAAAACCCATCAGTCTTTGAAAGGCACCAATTAAAAATTTCAATTCCAAGTCCATTAAAATGTATATAAAAATAGCTGCCTTTTTCATACTGTTCATTGGCACAATACTTAACGGTGTAGTGTAGTTTTGAATAATAGGTACTTTGTATAAAATGCATATTAGTTAGTTTTTTATTGTCGACTATTGCTCCTTGTCTTTTTAACAACATGAGTTATACACTCTGTCCTGTAACTTGCGAGTCATTTTCAAATATTAAAACAAGAAATTTCTTGTATGAAAACTTTGAAACTTCAATTTCTAGGAAATGTAATGTAGTTAATGCCTACGTTGTTGAATAAACTTCAAAAGAATCAGTAGCATTTGTAATTCATCAAATTGTACAGTTTAAAATAATTCTACTTCATTTTATTGGCAGATAAAGTTTTAGGAATACATTTCACCAACCCTTAAAAAACTTTTATATCGCTCAGCTTTAAGTTAAAATATGTAGAAAAGCTGTTATCTCTATTTTTTTACCAGCTTCAGAAAAATGAAGAAAAAAAGTTTGTTTTCTTCAGTGACAGAAAAATGATCACTTCTAGACCATCACCTCTTCCATTATAGAAAAAAATGCATATTTTTCCCCCCCACACATTTTCACTCTAAATATTCCGTGTAGCCCTGTGCACCGGTGAAAATGACGTCGATCCATATCCTAGCGGACTCCCCGGAAGGCGCCATGAGATAGTATCGCCTTTGCCTTGTTTTTACTATAAATGTTGTTTGTGGACTCGGGGACTTTGATGTGTTGCCGTGGTCCAGATACACTTCTTGTATAACCTGTCAACAAATGTAATTTGTTTCAAAATGTTGGTCATCTGAAATAGAAATAAAAATGCGCAAATTCTCTTTGACCAGAAATAAAAATGCGCAAATTCTCTTTGACCATTTCCATTATACTACAATAATAGTAACAATAATTGTATTTTTTTAATTTTTATAAGCTGCACGCCTGTCCATAACAGTTGCAGTGCCACTCCGAGCTTTAAATCGCAAAGATCTGAGGGGCACTGTCACCATGTCACTCATGTGCTGCCACTGTGCCCGACACCCTGGGTCATAAGTTGACAAGTCCCATGTGCCTGTAATTTCACCAGCAATCTTACCCTTCAAAATCGAAATGCAGTAACGCTTACATTACTGCTTGGTGGCAGAAATAGGTAAGATGGTAGGAATTCTTTGGACTAACTCTTTCACGAGGAGCTCTCTCTACTACTACTAAATATATATACCGGGTGGAAATTTAACCTAACCTGGAGGGTGGCATTACAGGTGGAAAGTACTCTAAATACTGGGGACAGAAATTTTTACTTAAAGGAAACATTCCTTTATTTTTTAAAAGAAATAAAACTGCATTCATAAAGGAAATGAAACTATTTTTCCGGATTTAAATCGCGTATATTTGTTTTTTCAAACAAACAGAGTCAACCGTGACCATGGGACCTGTAAAGGGCCCGAAACGTCGGTTTGTTTGAAAAAACAAATATACGCGATTTAAATCCGGAAAAATAGTTTCATTTCCTATGTGTAACAATCGCGAAAACCTAAGAACTCAATATGCATTCATAAATTTTCGAAAATTTCTAGCAACACGCGGGAATCAAACCCGCTTTAATCTGAAAAAAATGCACCCTGCACTTTTATTGCATCGATCGATAGGGTTAATTATAAGAATAAAATCTCTCTCACAAAATTGGTTAATTAAATGAAAAAAAAAAAACCATACCTTAACGTATTTTAATAAAACGAAAAAAATGGTAATCTAATTAATTAGTTGCTCGAAATGAGCTCCATTTTCTTGGATACACAAATTTAATCTTTTAACGAATTCATTTTCAGTAACTTTTAATAACGTGTTGTGATGAATTGTGTTACAAATCGTATTCTAAACCTCAGCCTTCAACTCGTTTACACTCGCATACGATTTAAGGTAAAGGACGATGACCAAATCTGCCCTAGCATGTACAGAAAATTCATATTTTTTAGTATCCTATATTAATTGAAACTAGATTTTTGATAATAATATAAAACGAATCAAAGCTGCAGTTTATATTTGAATGTTAAAAAATATTTTTTTATGCAATTCCGTTGCATTTCCGGTTTATTATTTTATTGTGGCGACGACAGGTGATTTTATGGCTCTGGGTACTTGTCATAATGAGCCATTAGTATGTTAATGTCATCTGAGTTACCTGATATAATTAAGTACGGGGTGGAATAAATACCTTATTTTTAGGGAGAATTTCCGGCCACCATAAAATCATAGAAGTTTAATTAACAATACTTTTGAATTATTTACGCCTGTTATTGTTACAATGCACCGAATTCATTAATTATTTATATATAACGCTATATATTAATTCAGAGATAAGATATTGAGAAAGGAATGTAATCCATTGCTTCATTAATATTAACCCTAAATAATAATAATAATAAAATATTTAATTTCTCTCCACGAACATAACGGATAAATATAAATGAATAAATACTAACAAATAAGTACTTGAAATGCTTTTTATATTGTAATTTTTTTCTTCGCCTACGTTTAAGAAGGATTAATGGTGAATTAAACGGAAAAATATCTTCAGTTCTCAATTTACTTAAATCCAAGGTCATGAAATAATTTTAAAAAAATGTCACGTGTGTCAATTGTTACTGTCGCGTTGTTGTTTGTGGTTGTTGTGTTGTGTTCTGTGGCGGCGTGCGTATGCGATTGTTGTTTTGTGCGAAAAAGCGCGTATTACATACATTTTTTTGTAAGTAATATCGACGACTTTGGCTTTTCTACTGGACTTACGAAACGTGTTAGTTTGTCGGTGAATTACAACTACAATGTTGCGGTGCATCAACTGTCTTTTGTGTGTGCAACGTATTCAAAGACATGCAGTTAGCGAACTATCCGTGCAACTGCAAAACATCTTCATGGAATGGTTGGCATTACCACAAGTAAGTAATCTTGAATGATTAGTATATAGAAGTTTACATTATACATATTAGTGTAGTTATTTGATAACAAATGGTGACATTGATGTTGTTTTCAGCTTCCTGTTGATGCTGTGATATGCCACGCTTGCTATATAATAGCAAATGAAAGTGCCAATGATACTGACCCAAGGAGGAGGCTTGGCCATACTAACGTATGTGTTGGATGTGGTTGTTCTGTTTTGAATATAAGAAATCATAACCTTGAAGAAAATAGCCCATTGCTGAATGTTTTTGAATGGAATATCAATCTGCCGGTATGTATCAACAAACTTATTTCCATAAAATAATGAATCTAGACTTATGTGTATTAAGTTACAAATGATTTAACATTTTTTATATTTTTTTGTACAGGGCCATAGAAATCAGGTGTGTCATACATGTTGGGTGCGAGGAAATCGAAGAGTTGTACAAGATGTACAAAGGATTTCAGTTGAAATTCCGCTTCCACCTGAGCAACCCCGAAGCCCTGTGGAGAATGAACCATTGGAATCGTCTATATATCCTGTGGTTGACCAGAGAGTATTAGCATTGAGATCTATTGTTTTACCAAACTATAAACGTTCGGCGAATACTTCTAGCCGTTGTGTTTACAACATGTGTCGCAATGCAGCAGGACATTTAGTGCCCACATTTATAAAGGTTATGTTGGTAAGGGAATATAACTTTTATGTTCCACGATCTACTAGAGTCTGTGAGTTGCATTTGTTTAGTAACACTTGGCAATCATTACCTGAATTAACAAATACATTTTCTGATTTTAATGCAACTCAAATAGAAGACATAATTGAACTAGCTAAAAAAGAAGTATGCTTTGATTTTGAAAATGTACAAGATATGCCTAACCATATTTGTCACTACTGGACTGGTTTGAATGTTACTGAATTTTTGACATTATATAATGAATTATCATTAGATAATTATGTAACATCACCAAAATTGTCTCTAGCTATATACTTAATAAAACTTCGAACTGGTGATAGTAATAAAAGATTGTCCTCACTTTTCCAAATGTCTCGAACTACTTTAGAAAGGCAAATGAAAAAAGTGAGAGAATATCTTGTGGAACATTTTGTACCTCGTCACATAGGCCTGCAGCACATAACAGCTCACGACATTTCTAACAGAAATCTGTCTATACCGAATGCCTTATTTGGGAACCCTAACAGTAATGTAGAGGACAGACCTGCAATAGTCATATGTGACGGTACATATATATATATAGAAAAAAGTTCCAATTATTTGTACCAAAAAAAGACTTACAGTCTTCATAAATATAGCAACTTAGTGAAACCATTTCTTATGGTGAGCTGCGATGGCCATATCATAGATGTATTAGGTCCATATGCTGCCACTCAAACAGATGCTGATATAATGAAAGATTTATTTAGAGAACCAAATAGACCTATGAGAACATTTTTTAGAGAAAATGATGTTTTTATTTTAGATCGTGGATTTAGGGATGCAATTGCACTTTTAGAGAGTTGCAATTATAAAGTCTTTAAACCGGAGAATTTAGATGAAGGTGAGACACAGCTGACTACATTACAAGCCAACAAAAGCCGCTGTGTAACTTTATGTCGGTGGGTAGTTGAAGTAGTAAATGGTAGATTCAAGCGAGACTTCAAGTTATTTAGGCAGGATTTCTTTAATACTGCCCACCAACATCTAATGGACGATTTTAAGGTTGCAGCTGCCCTTATCAATCGTTTTCATCCCCTTATTATAGATCGCTCCGATGCCCAAATGATTATTAGTCGGGCATTGGAGCAATTACAAGTACCTAACCACCTAGCTCGGTTTGTAGCAGAGTTTAATCTTAATCGTAGGCGTGTAATGTTCTCCAGAATTGATGGCAATCTTCCTCAACTTGAATCTTTTCCTAGGTTCACGTATGACCAATTAGTTTTGTTCTCTCTGGGGCCATACCAGGTAAAGCAAGCTCGGTCTTATTATGGTGAGCATATTCGTGAGAATGGCATCTATGAAATAGAAGTATGTCCACAATTGGAGCACTCCGAAGAAATGGTTACACATGTTGGAGGAAATCAACCCTGTTTGTTAAGGGGCAGAGTTAAATCTCGACATGTAAGTCAGAGACAATATTTCACATATATATTGTTCGAAACAGAAACGAGCAGTCAGTCTCCTTTTGAGTTGATATTAGGATATTCCTGTAGTTGCTTAGTAGGAAACCGAACAGTTGGCTGTTGCTGTCATGTCATGACAATGATTTGGTTTTTGGGATGGGCAAGATATGAAGAAAACATAACGGCACCAGCCACATATTTAGATAACATTTTAATAGATATCGAAGATTAATTGTATAGAAAGATAATAAAATAATGTGGTATATTTGTGACAGATTTTTTTATTTTCTTTACCCTGCTTCCGATCGTCTATTTATGACATTAGTAAATAGACTTCTACCATAAGTGGCCTACTCCACTCCTGGGAGGTGACCTTGGTTCTCCAAAATGACCATCGCGTTCGTAAACTTAATCGTAAAGACCTACTTTTCGTAAAGTCTGATAATATGTACCTACAATTGGTGAGAGTACGATATGAACGGAATGGTTCATTGGTCGGTTAATGAGTAGGTACGAATACGAAGGTCGTTTTAGAGATCGGTCACCCTCTACTAATCCACTAAAGCCCTACATAGATTACGCTAATTGTTATTGAAATCGAAATTAGCTTGTGAACAACTTATGTATGTACAAATGTGTGACAAATTATTAGACGTTTATAGGTTAGGAAAAGTAGATTTTAAAAATTAAATATAAAAAAATCCGCTGCTTTAAATGAAAAACGAAGAATTAATTCAAAATCTAGGTGTTATGTGCTTTAAAATGCACCACGTATAACTTATGTACACGACAGTTTATGTTAGGGCATGCCTCCATACTGAATTGGTCATCATCCTTTGATTTTTAACATATCCCCACAAAAAAAAAATCTAAAGGGTTGAGATCTGGTGATCTCGCAGGTCATCTGATTGTGCTGTTTGTACCAATCCAGGTATTAAAATGGTTACTAATGTAGTACTTTAACTTGACCCATTGAATTTATAACTCCAGATTTCATGATTTGTAAGAGAGATTTCATCCTCATAATTGACCCTATCGATTGATTTAATAAAAGTACAGGGTGCATTTTTTAAAAGATTTTAGCGGGTTCGATTCCCGCGTGTGGCTAGCAATTTTCGAAAATCTTTGAATGCAGTATTATTTCTTTTTAAAAATAAAGGAAGGTTTCCTTTAAGTAAAAATTTCTATCTCCAGTATTTAACGAACTTTCCTTCCAAGTGGCATTACAAATTTCCACCCTGTATATTATGTATAACGTATATTGTAATTTTTTATGCTATTGTGTAGGTATACCAATTCTTTCTAAGTGTAGTGTTCAGTGCAATAAGAGCAACATCTTCTTCTTACCTGGAAATAAGCGCCGCCCCTTGGTTTTTTCTCACTTTTATCCCAGTAGTAGACGAACGTTTTCGTTTCTCTATCGAAAACGAACCACCTGCAAACAAATTTAAACATTATTATTAGTTGTTGTTAGCAACGGTAACAATCAAATCGATAATGTTGTTGGCATACGTTGAATGTAGCAAAGACCGCATCGAATTTTTATCGGCTTTGATATGGTGTAGTGTCATTCTTAACCTGTCACGCTCCCCAGAGACAGACGAAATGTAGCTGCGCTTTGGAGACGCCCCATGTGGTTCTAGGGGTCGTATTCTAGAACTCTACTCAATGTTCAAGTCAGGATTTGAGTATGGTTTAAAGCACTCGAAATCATACTCAAGTCCCTGCCATTAGGGTCGTGCTTCCAGTGCTTGAAATCATACTCAGATCCTGACTTGAGCTTTGAGTAGAGTTCTGGAATACGACTCTAGGACTCTACAGTACCAAAATCATTAAAGACACCGTATGTCTCTAGGATGCGTGACAGATAAGGTTATTTTTAAATACTTTGTTTCGTGCCTTTTTACGAAACATAATGTTGATTTAGCCTTGAATAAACTTTTTAGTTTTTTAAATTTTTATTTAATTTATATTCAATTATTTTTATGTGAAATTACTCCACTAGTTTGTTATAATTATTAACACAAAGATCGAAGATGTCAGAAATCTCAGTTGTTGCCGCTTTGTTGGTATAGCGTCTGGCACGGTATGCTGGAAGACGTCGGCAGAGAACAAATAAGTAATGAGAACGGACACTCTCCGCCCCTCCCTAGCTTTGGATACCGCATCACGCCCCGCACATTGACGGTCACATTGACTGAACGAGACCAAGGCTGTCGGCGAGCCGTTTTCGCGCTAAGACGGCTTTGATATTTGAATATAGTTTTCATTTATTCATTACGAAATTTGTACGTTAATATATAACATCATTTTAAGTTACTATTTACAATAGTCGTGAATCGTGCTGTGTACGGCTGTTTATAACCATCTAAACGGGATAAAGAGAGGAGTTTCTTTCGTTTTTTGAAAGATGAAACGTAGTAAGTAAACAAACTTATGTCTGAGACTCACTCAGTTATTGTTTTCTTTAGTGCAGAGTAATATATAATACAGAATTATTGTATCAATATAATAAGACGCCATAACTTCGTGAGCTAGACAAGGGTACTCGAATTTTCAATTTTTATTGCCGATAAATATTACGTAGTGAATATACCTAATTATTAACTAGGTAATGATAAAGTTGGACACGCAATTTCAAATACTTTGGTTACCTTTTTTAAAAAGTCCAAAGTGCTTTTAATATATTTTTTAAATAAATCTTCAATATTATTCTAATTAGTGAATTAATAAAAATATAATATTATATTGATATAAATACGTAATGAACATGTATAATTATTAGGATTCTATAATAGAATTATAGATAACAGATTCGCGAAATATCCCATATGTTACCAGGTGGTGACAAACGGGTTAAAGAAATCTCAGTTGTAGCCAGTGCAGTGGTGATTTCTACTGGCGACAAATGGAAATAAAATCCCACATATTACCAGGTGGTGACAAATGTGATAAAAAATCTCAATTGTAGGCAGTGGTGACTTCTACTGGCGACAAATGGAAAAAAAATGTCATATGTTACCAGGTATGACAAATGGGATAAAAAGATCTGTTGTAGCCCACTGGCGACAAATGGAAATTAAAAAATCCCAATTAATGTTTGTTTACTGCCACCATCGAAAGGGAATAAAATAAAATTCGAGTTTAATGATAGAAGTAGATAAATGATAGAAATAGATCTTATTTAAAAACAGTCTTAAACATCAGATATTTCCAATACCATGCAATAATTAAAAATCACAAAAATTATCACATCATTTACAATTATCCAGAAAGTCTGGACACTACAAATATAAAACAACAGTTGAAATAAAAAACCACTGCACTGGTCACCACTGGCAACAACTGGGATTTTATTTCCCATTTGTCACCAGTGGGAACAAAACCAATAGTGACAACTGGGAATAAGCCAACCAAATTAAAAGATGAATGATGCGAATGAAGCTTCATACATGACATTGTCTTTTGATTTCGTAGAGCATCACTTTTTTTGATAATATCAAGTGACGGGGCGAACAAGTCGTGCGCGTGATGGTAAGCTCCACGGTTGTCCATAACAGCTGCAGTGCCACATAATTCTTAGCTCCAGCTAACCTGGATGAACTCTTTCACAAGGAGCTCTACTACTTCCAGGTGGTGTCACGCGGATCTTGCGTAATAATGATAGATGTAACACTCGGTCCACATGAATTTATTGTACAAGGTATATAACAGTAGGCAAAAGGTGAAGGAAAAGAAAGAAGGAACAGGCTGCAACAAAATGCGTATAGCTTAACATCAGGTCCACGACTTGTTCGTCCCGTCATTGAATATTATTTAAGAAAAACCTTCTACATGCTGGTTTTCCGTCACAGTTAAGGAAAGATATTGCTGCTGAACAATTTAACTTAGAAATAAAATCATAGGTGCATGCTACCAAATGAAAGAAATGAAAGAAATGTAATTTATTCAGCACAATACACGTGGAGTACAATATTAATAATTAGTATTAAAAGTGTATTATTGCACTGAAAAGGACCCAACTCAGCTAATACTGCGGCAGGGCCACAGCGTTGGTTTTCAGTGGACCCTTTTCGAAAATGCCGATTAAAAGAAATAAAAATATATAAATAAAATAAAAACAAACGTGGACGCGAGTTAAAGAAAAACTTAAACATGAAACAATATAATTAAATAGGAAACATAACACAAATTTCAGCTAATGTCCCAACAAAGATTCACTCTGCTTTTTCTTTTTAATTTTGTATTTTGAGGCGCATTACACAAATAAAATTGTTCCAGACGTGTTTTGTAGATTTAGAATGTGCTTTTTGAGTTGACATTTGAACGCATAAACGGATTGTGAAGAACGCATTGGTGGCGGTATGTTGTTCCAGATTTTCGCCGCGGAATATTTAAAACTGCCTTTATATGCCGAAGTTTTGTGTTTTGGAATGCAGAGTGGAAACCTGCAGGTGCGCGGTCTATTAGTCCATGTGAGACGTTCATGGAGGTAAAAAGGTTTTAGCTTTTTATCACTCCAAATAGAAGCGTGGCTAAATGGGAGTATCTTCGCGACGACATGTTTAGTGTTTTAGCTTCATTGGATTCAATGGATTCGATTGTCGATCTCATAAATAAGAAGTAACTGTTTTCTCACTGGGATGTTACCGTTCTTATCTGGTTAATAATACTGTTTAAGGCACTAACCGTTTGGACCATGTATGGAATTTGGCGCCGAGTTTATGTAGATAACCGCGACATGATGTCGACGTGATCGTCACGTAGGGGCACAACTCAATCTGATGACCTGCAAAAATACTCTCATATACAGTCTGAACACTTTTTGCAAGATACATACACACACACATTTAGAGGAATGAACAAAAGAGAGAATACAAAATTGTAATACAATAAATATGAATTAGACATCGCGCGTTGTAGAGCCATACTGTATCTCTAACGCGTAGGTGTATTTCATCGACAATAAAAAAAATATTTAATTAGTAAAAATTCATAAAATATTAAAACAAGTACCAAAACGTACAACTGAACAATGAAAACAAAAATACAAAAAAAATGACAACTCTAATTTTATTTGTTGTAAGGAAAAGATGAAACTTTCTAGTTTACCATATAACAAATAAACGTTTTACTCACTGTTGAAATAAATTACGTACAATAATAAAGTGTACTTACCCGCTGATTCGACGTGTCTGTACAGATCAAAGTCGTCCCTGTCGACGGGTAGGTACCGTGTGAGCGGGCGCTGCGAGTCGCTGTAGGGTGCGATCCCGCGGCGACTTCGGCGGGGCGCGTTGCTGATTTGGACTGAAAGATAAATAATTTCTTTTTCACCTCACTAGCTCGAAAAGACTTTCTTTGTCATTAGAAATCTACGCGCTAAAGCGTTTTCTCCACGCTAGCGTGGAAAAGGTATTTGAAATTTGAACTCGATCATCATCTATATTATATATATATAAATTTTCTTTCGTTGAAAAAAGAAAACATAATGACATGTTCAACTACGCGATTTGTCGTACATTATTTATGTAACATAAATCCGTTGCTATATTTTATTGTTGACATTAAATTGACAACGATAACTAATTTTGTTTATTTTAACTGATTTGTCATAGTTCAACTGTTTTTCTTTTATCTACCATTTTCCTCGCTAGAGTGAGGTGAAAATTTGTGTATTTCGCTCGGCAGCAAAGTCGTTTTGCGTCGCGTGCCTTAAAACCCTTGCAACGCTCAAGATTCTATACTTAGGGTCGTATTCCAGAACTCTACTCAATGCTCAAGTCAGGATTTGAGCAGACTTGAGTATGATTTCAAGCACTGGAAATACGACTCTAATGGCAAGGACTTGAGTATGATTTTCAGTGCTCACTGCAATACTCAAGTCCTGGCTTGAGTATTGAGTAGAGTTCTAGAATACGACCCTTAGTACCTTGCTCAGATTTCAATACAAACACTCGCGTCAAACGACTTTACAGCTTTGCATAACAAATAACTATTTTCATTATTATTGAACATAAGCAGGCGTTTAACCGTATGGTAACAAATGTGGTCGAGAATGAATCAGGCATGCCTTATCATCATACTCATGACCCATTATGCTTCCGACTGCTGCGCACAATTCTACTCTACAGAGAGGATTTAGGTAAGGTGATGAAAGGCCCAATGAAAGTCATAAGACTTTTGTGTCATAAGTCCTAAGTCAACCACTGTTATAAGTAGCGTGCATACCGTTCTAGATTACTCTATTGTTTTCGTAAATATATTTACGTGCAAGTGTCCTCTGCGTTGACCCCACCCCCGTCATGCACAGACTTATTACCGTTTAGAGCGATCTATTTAAATATCTGATTAATTTAGAAATCTGATGAATAATGAACGGTTACACACGGCGATTGCAAACGCGATGCAGTCGCTAATCGTCTATCTTTACACACGCGCGCGATTCTAAGCAGCGATGCAAACGCGCGACTTATCGATACAAATGAAAATTTGGGATATACAGGCGATTGTACAATGTCGCCTATAAATCGCAACTGTAGCGATACAATCGTTGCTAAAAGTCGCGTGTGTCTCTATAGGTCGTGGAACAAAATTTGTTGTTTATGATGTTAGAAATATACTCCTGCGAGGTTATTAGCATTTTAAAAATAATCCTGTGTATACATATCGCGCAGTCTCGGACATTCTCGTAGCTACCGTATCGCATCCAACTTTGTTACACAATTGACATTCAATATGCTATATATAATTTCGTTACAAAAGCAAGCTTCCTTGCGTTTCGCAGTGATATGAGTCTTAGGGCCTATGCACACGGCGTATTTTATACGCGCCCGTAAACGCGCGTCATCTACGCGTATACGCGCTGTAGTTGCGCGTATGTAAACCATTTAAACTATTTATTAAAAAATGTTTTTTACACAATTTACAAAATTAATTAATAGTAAAATAATTATCATAAATAAAAATAAGTACGTGTGTGACGAACACGAGCTCAGGAAAATGTTGAAATCAGTTTGTAATGACTTCAACCCTGATTTTCTTCTTTCTGATGTATCGTGCATTTTGATAAGAGACAGTTTTAATTTTAGTTTTCTTTGTAAATTTCAGTTAGTTTTTGAAATGAAGCAACTACGTGAACTCGCGCAGTTGGAATCGATTCACTACAGCGTGCCTGTGGCGCGTATACACGCAGACGACGCGCGCTATCTGCGTGTAAAATAAAATAGGCTCTTATTAGACGGCCGCGCGACTATCACTTGTCATACAATTTCTAGAAGCGCTGCAATCGTGCAGCGACGGCCGCGCGCTATTCGACAGAATTTTTCAAAATAACCACGTTGGATGAAAATTTAATTCAAGAATTTATAGAGAATGTAAAACAACACCTTACAATATAGGATAGCAGTTCCGCCAGTTATTCCAATCGACTGGATAAAAAAATGGCATGGGAAACTTTGGTCGCACTTCAGCAGCGCGACGTTCGCGCGGCTGCAGCGCTTCTAACAGCGGCTAATTTGAACGCGCCCTTAGGCTCGATATGGAATGTTATTACTTACGTATGTTCTCTCTGCTGAAGTCTGATGCATGGCTAAGAGGTCGGCTGTCGCTGTCACTTCGTTTCTCATCTTCTGTAGACTCAGTCCGTGAGTTTCGTACTTGCAGCTGTGAATAAACAGACATAACTCCATTATTGTACACATTTAATAGCTAACATGGACCAAAAACGCCTGAGGACTGCCAATCTCCATACTGCAGATCGTAACTTTGAAAAAGGTCAAAATTCCGTCCTATATCCAGATGGCGCTGATCAATTGTTTGCAAGTAGTTTATATTATGTAAATGGACGTGGATATCAATTAATTCCTTTTTAATATGTAATTATAAGTCGACACTTTAACAAATATGCGCGCCAATAGATGGCATTGTGTGTTACAAACTAATTTATAAATTAACGCTTACTAGTAGAGGTAGATGGCGTTAATCCTCAACAATTTAAAGAATAGTCGGCATTATCCATAAAAATCTGTGCAATAAGCGCCATCTAGTTGGTTTGTTTGTTATCACTAGAAATTAGAGTAGCTTTGTAAATTGTGTGAAGAGTGTTGATAAATGATGTTCTACCCTTAATAAGCCACTTCTCAACACAAGGCTTTTTATGGCTCACGCTTATTTCGTTTTAATTAGTGTGATGAGATTTAAAACAGAGCCACAGGTGGCCTGATGTGTGATTGTTTTTTTAATTACTTTGGCAAAATGTGTTTATTTCCACGACTACAATCATCCTATACTTGATGGAGCGAGCTATGCTTGGGGTTTCTCTGATGGACCGAATTCCTAAGGAGGTCATACGTCACAGAACTAAAGTGACCGACATAGCTCACAAAATCAGTAAGCTTAAGTGGCAGTAGACCGGGGACCGGGCATGTCTGCAGGAGGGTTTTATTTATTTATTTATTTTGTACAACTTACACTTACAGTACTTATTGTAAGTCATAGTTACAAAAAAGGTGAGTCGATCATTGGCCAAAGATAGGATGCGGAATTTGGACCACAGAGCTTTGGGCGGTGACCGCCTCCAAATAGTAACCAGCGGATGTTAGAAATTTCGTTTCAGTGTTGCTGAACACGTCAATATCATTTGTTTTGCTTAAGAATTTACGGCTAGGGCTTCGAAGAATGGTGTCCGTCTTAGTCACTGTGCGGGTTAAATAAAAATTGAATAGAGGGTATTTGCGCTGACGAACGACGTTACGTGAGATTGGCGGGATAAAAAAAGGAATTTGAGCCAATAGAGGAGGGTTAATTATATATCCTCTTATTAGCGATCTGTATGATACCATGCCCAAAATAAAGGGTGTATGGTACATATAAGGATAGTACCCACAAAGTTCACTATATAAATATCTCAAAAATGATTTCTGGATTCGTGGAACATTGCTTTATAGAGTTTATTGTGGGGATTCCACACTGCCCCCGTAGCTTCCAATTTACTTCGAACAAAGGCGTTATATAAATTACAAATTGCCTGTCGATGGTCAAAAAACTTAACTACATAAGCCAAGACTTTTCCAAGCACTATTACATATATCAATAACATGATCATTAAATTTGAGTCCAGAATGGAATCTTACTCCCAAATCACGAACAGACTTCACACGGTTCAAGGTCGTGTCACCGAGGCTGTACTCAATGCGGATTGGATCTCTCCGGGAGTAAGACAGGGTTGATCGCCGATGGAGCAGACTTGTTCTGGAATGGCCACCACGTCAAGGAAAACGTAGTGTGGGATGCCCTGCGGCAAGATGGACGGACGATTTGAGCAAGGTGGCCGGCAGTGGCGGGATGCGGGCATTATTAGATTGGGAGAGTTGGGAGGCTTATGTCCATCAGTGGACGCGTGTAAGCTGATGATTGCATCATCCTACACAATTAATTACTAGTCAGACATCTCTAGTCAGCTGCCGGTACCTGGCTGAGTGAAGCTACGACAAGAAAAGTCGTTGAAAACCAAAGACAAAGATCCGACAAACAAGCGCGTAGAAAAACTCTTGAGGTCCGCTGGTTCGTTCCGTGTCTTAGTTGGCATAGCGTCGGGCACGATTTTCTAGAAGACGCTGGTTCGAATCCAGCCGGCGCGAAGGAATTTTATTCTAAGTGTTCGTTCGTCAAAGTCAAAGATTATTTATTCCATAGGTAAAATAAATTTACACTTGAAAACGTCACATTTAAGCTACTGCTCGTTCACTACGCTGACCTCCCTGAGAAGGAGCAAGAAACTCTAGCTATTGCTCTTTTCAAATAAAATGAAATACTATGGAATACACTTTGAATCAAATTTGTGTGGATTCTGGAGCCATGTCGTCTTTCCATACATCTTTATCTAACACGTAGTCTTCAATTTTGTAATATGATTTTTCGATCAAAATATTTTTAATGTAGTTTTTAAACTTAGGAAATGATAAACTTAATATATGCTCCGGAATCTTATTGCAAAAACGTATACAGTTCACCATAAAAAAGTTGTTTACCTTGGTTAAACGAAATCGTGGTACCATGAGTTTGGACTTAGCTCTAAGGTTAATATTATGGATATCTTCTTTCTTATTGAAATTATGTATATTTTTACGGGCATATAAAATATTTGAGTAAATGTACTGTGATGCCACAGTCATGATACCAGTTTCCTTAAACTTTTCTCTGAGAGAAACCCGAGAGCCTAGACGGTACACAGAACGAATCTCTCGTTTTTGCAATACAAATCGTTCATCTTTGTATTCATAATCATAAAAAAACGTTGTTTATGATGTTTCTAATATAGACTTGCGAGGTTGTTTGTATTTTACAAATAACCCTGTATAACATGTTTAAATGGTCAGTACTTTGTTCATTTCACACCCTGTTTACCGGACGTTGTTTATAATCTCAAACATACGTTTCCATTGTGACGCACGCGCATCACGAGTAAAGGAAATATTTAATGTGTAGGCCGGCGTTACTACACTCTTAGTAATTGGATATTTTCAAAACATTTACAGTATTTAATGGAAAACATTGTATAGGTCGTGATTCATGTTTTTTTCTTCTTACAGTGTCGAAGGTTCTTTAATTTAAAAACTGTTTTTAGAGGTATATACAGGATGTAATCGTTTAGTGTGCCCAGGCGATTGTTCCATAAATATAAGAAGATATGAAAAAGCTTTAAACTGATATGGAAAGTACGTTACCTAATAAGTAAATCGACATCAATAACTTTTTGAAAAAATATATTTTATCGAGTCGATATTTTATAAGACCGACTCAGTTTCATGTAAGAATCATTTCATTGTATAGGATGAAAAAAATCGAGACAGCAGAAGTATATAAAGTTGCTATCACAGTTTTTATTTATAGCTATGTCAGATCAACAAATGCGTTCAGATACGGAGTGAATTGAAATGATTCTTAACCCGAAAAATATTCGCTTTTAGTTATATAAAAGAAGCACACTTTATTCACTTTATATTTTTGTTAACTTGTTTATTGACATGGAGTAAATTTAATATTATTAAAAATAGGGATATAGGTCAACAGCTCTATATAGTTCACACGGAAATGAAAACAACAATAAAGTACGCTGTTCTAAATACAAATTCTTATAGACGTTAAATCTAATAATTAATGGGCGTTTTAAAAGTTTGAGTGGTCCGTACTTGCATTCTGTTTCTCATTTACGATCAAAAGGTAAAAAAAATAATTATTTGTATTCACAGACGTGATGATAAACAAAATGTAGGAATGAGTACCTTACAAACACTAGTAATCACGATATTTGATTTTTTTTAATGTAAAATATAGGTGCGCATTTGACCTCCATCTCACCTGATGGAAAGTGACGATGAGGTCGACCATGGAGCATGCACACTTAAATAATGCCTATTCACTGTCGCCTTGAAAAGGTCCAAGTTACATCGTTCAGGGAACAAGTCTGCAGGCAGGGAATTTCACTCCATAGCCGTTCGCCATATAAATGTGGAAGCGTAACGCTTCGTGCGAATCTTTGGAATATCCACAGCATAGGGGTGGAACCCAAGCCTACACCTAATCCCCCGGTGATGGAAAGGGGAAGGCGGAATTAAATCGTGTAATTCCATCGCACACTCTCCGTGATATATCTCTTAAGTTCAAGGCTCTGCAACTTCGTCTCCACTTATTCCGAGTCACCTATAAACCTCTTGCCACGGTTGTCAATTGAATCCAAAGTGGCCAGTTGATATGTAGCAGAGCCATCCCACAGGTGGCTGCAGTACTCCGTGTACGATCGGACTTGTGCTTGGCACACCTGAAGTAACTGTCCCGGTGTAAAGTAACGCCCTGGACATTTATAACAGATGAATACACTCGAAATCGTTAATTAAAATCTACTACTCTTTCTAAGGCAGATTTCACTGAGATGAATAAGTAAGAAACTCCAGGTTGTCCAGGAGTAAGTTGCTTTTTGCCAATAAACATTTGTGCACATTTTTTTTAGAGCCTATACTGTCCTATGTTTATTATTTACGATATTAATTTCGAATATATATAGAATGAGTCATTCTGGAAGAGTTGAATGGGTTCCAGTTACTTTTCATCCGGAAGACAGTGCGTTTTGGAATTCTTGCTCATCCATGTGCGTTTTCGCGCATTCTTTAACAAGAATCGGAGTAATGGCGGTATCCGACCACATCACTGTGATTCCCCCATAGGCCATAAATAAAAAAAAAATCATTGGCTTATCCCGGTTAGATCAACTCACTAAGTTAGTAACTAGTTAACAAGCTTCCAAAAACTATAAATGTCAATGTAATTAGGTCACGTTATCATTCACTTTTGTGCATCGGAAGTGAGCGCATCGCGAGACTAATTATCACCACGTGTGAGTCATCGAAACTTAATCACTTTGTTTTTGAGTGTCACTATTCCAAATCAAGTGTTTACGTGTTGTGAAAGCATGGAGATCCAAGAGCATGGTATGTACTTTTATTATCAATTTTTTTTAATTTTTTTTATGCATATTTTTTTTTATATAATTTTTTTATTGAAGGCAGTTTTTTGGTGAAAATTTTTGGCATAACTTAATTTCCTTTAGACCTACAACTTTTGGCTGCGCTGAGCTGCACCTGAGGTATATGGTTTTTGAATAAGGA